CATCCATTCACATTTGATCATGAGATTGTAGCAATTCAGTCATATCTTCAGGCTCCACTTCAAATTCCCGTTCTCATGCTGTTTCTACTGCATCTGCAGTGACTTCCCTCACTGATGTCTTGAACCCTCTCAAAGTCATCCGTGAAGGTTGGAATCAACTTTCTTGAAAACTCATGTTCATGTTGATATTTGGACATCCTCCTATTAATCACAAATATTCTAAATGGCATTTAGAATAGGGAATCCTAACAAGCATGGTATTGGTACCAAAACAGAAGTATAGACCAATGGAACAGAACAGAGGCATTGGAGGCAACACAACATATCTACAACCATACAATCTTTGATAAACCTGACAAAAACAAGCAATGGGGAAAGGATTCCCTGTTTAATAAATGGTGTTGGGAAAACTGGCTAGCCATGTGCAGAAAGCAGAAACTGGACCCCTTCCTGACACCTTACACTAAAATTAACTCCAGATGGATTAAAGACTTAAACATAAGACCTGGCACCATAAAAACCCTAGAAGAAAATCTAGGCAAAACCATTCAGGACATAGGAGTAGGCAAGGACTTCATGACCAAAACACCAAAAGCATTGGCAACAAAAGCCAAAATAGGGCCAGGCATGGTGGCTCAAGCCTGTAATCCCAGCACTTTGGGAGGCTGAGGTGGGTGGATCACGAGGTCAAGATATCAAGACCATCCTGGTCAATGTGGTGAAGCCCCGTCTCTACTAAAGATACAAAAAATTAGCTGGGCATGGTGGCGCGTGCCTGTAATCCCAGCTACTCAGGAGGCTGAGGCAGGAGAATTGCCTGAACCCAGGAGGCGGAGGTTGCGGTGAGCCGAGATCGCGCCATTGCACTCCAGCCTGTGTAACAAGGGCGAAACTCCGTCTCAAAAAAAAAAAAAAAAGGTGGAAATAGACAAATGGGACCTAATCAAACTCCACAGCTTCTGCACGGCAAAAGAAACAGTCACTAGAGTGAATCGCCAACCAACAGAATGGGAAAAAATTTTGCAGTTTACCCATCTGACAAAGGGCTGATATCCAGAATTTACAAAGAACTCAAACAGATTTACAAGAAAAAAACAAGCCCATTCAAAAATGGGCAAAGGATATGAACACTTTACAAAAGAAGACATACATGAGGCCAACAAACATATGAAAAAATGCTCATCATCACTGGTCATTAGAGAGATGCATATCAAAACCACATTGAGATACCATCTCACGCCAGTTAGAATGGCGTTCATTAAAAAATCTGGAGACAACAGATGCTGGAGAGGATGTGGAGAAATAGGAACACTTTTAAACTGTTGATGGGAGTATAAATTAGTTCAACCATTGTGGAAGACAGTGTGGCGATTCCTCAAGGCCTTAGAAATAGAAATTCCATTTGACCCAGCAATCCCATTACTGGGTATATACCCAAAGGACTATAAATCATTCTACTGTAAGGATACATGCACACGAATGTTTATTGCAGCACTGTTTACAACAGCAAAGACCTGGAATCAACCCAAATGCCCATTGATGATAGACTGGATTGGGAAAATGTGGCACATATACACCATGGAATATTATGCAGCAATCAGAAATGATGAGTTCGTGTCGTTTGTAGGGACATGGATGAATCTGGAGAACATCATTCTCAGTAAACTGACACAAGAACAGAAAATGAAATGAAATGAAATACCGCATATTCTCACTCATAGGTGGGTGATGAAAAATGAGAACACATGGACACAGGGAAGGGAGTACTACACACTGGGGTCTATTGGGGGGAATAGGGGAGGGACAGTAGCGGGGGTGGAGCTGGGGAGGGATAGCCTGGGGAGGGATAGCCTGGGAAGAAATGCCAAATGTGGGTGAAGGGGAGGAAGGCAGCAAAACACACTGCCATGTGTGTACTTATGCAACTATCTTGCATGTTCTGCACATGTACCCCAAAACCTAAAATGCAATAAAAAATAAAATAAAATAAATAAATTTCCTCTTTTCCTATTAAAAAAAAAAAGAATAGGGAATCCTTTCCAGAAGATTTTTATTTTACTTTTCCCACATCCATGAAAGGAATCACCATCTATGGTAGCTATAGCCTTATGAAATGTATTTCTTAAATAATAAGGCTTAAAAGTAGAAATTACTACTTGATCCATGGACTGCAGAATGGTTGTTGTGTTAGCAGGCATGAAATCAATGTATTAATGTCCTTGCACGTCTTCATCAGAGCTCTTGAGTGCATAGGTGCCTTGTGAATGAGCAGTGGTATTTTAAAAGAATTTTTTTTTTCTGAGTAGTAGTTCTCAACTGTGAGCTTAAAATATTCAGTAAATCATACTATAAGTAGATGTGCTATCATCCAGGCTTTATTGTTCCATTGATAGAACACAGGCAGAACAGATTCAGCACAATTCTTAAGGGTCCTAGGATTTTCAAAATGTTAAGGGAGTGTTGGCTTCAACTTCAAGTCACCAGCTGCGTTAGCTCCTAGCAAGAGAGTCAGTCTGCACTTTGAAGCTTTCAGGCCAAGCATTGACTCCTCTGTTCTAGCTATGAAAGTCTTAGATGGCGTTTTCCTCCAATAGGAGGCTGTTTCATCTGCATTGAACATTTATTGTTTAGGGTCGCTTCCTTCATCAATGCTCCTAGCTAGACCTTCTGGAAAATCTGCTGCAGCTCCTCCATCAGCACTTGCTGCTTCACCCTGCACTGTTATGCTATGGAGACGGCTTCTTTCCTCAAACTCTGCTAGCTTCCAACTTTTGTTCTGCCAACCTCTCTCAGCCTGCATGGGATTGAAGATGGTTAGGACCTTGCCCTGGATTAGGTTTTGTCTTAAGGGAATGTTGTTAATGATTTGATCTTCTGTCCAGACCATTTCGAATTCCTCCATATCAGCAATAAGGCTGTTTCACTTTCTTGCCATTCATGTGTTCACTGAGTAGCATTTAATTTTTGAAAGAGTTTTTCTTTGAATTAACAATTTGGATAACTGTCTGGTGCAAGGGATCTAGGTTTTAGCCTCTCTTGGCTTTTGACATGCCTTCCTCACCGAGCTTAATCATTTATAGCTTTTTATTTAAAGTGAGAGACATGGGATTCTTCCTTTCGCTCGAACACTTAGAGGTCATTGAAGGGTTACAAAGTGTCTTAATTTCAAAGTTGTGTTTCAGGGAAGAGGGAGGACTGAAAGGTGGGAGAGAAATTGGGAAAGAGCTGGTTGGTGGAGCAATCAGAATGCACACCTATGCTGGTTAAGTTCCCTGCCCTCTATAGTTGCGGTTTGTGGTGCCCCCCCAAAAATTATAATAGCAACACCCAAATCACCAACATCGCAGATCACCATGACAGATATGATGAAGAAGCTTGGAATATTGCAAGAGTTACCAAACTGTGACAGGGAGACAGGAAGTGGGCACATCCTATTGGAAACATGGCACAAATAGGCTTGCCTGACTCAGGGTTCCCACACACTTTCAATTTGTAAAAAATGCAGTAGCTGCAAAGTATGATCATGTGAAGCATGAAGAAGCAAGATGTGCCTTTGCTGTGATACTTTCAAATAGCGATGTCCTCAGGTGGCTGAAACCTCAGAAAGTGAAGCTGTGGATGAGGGCCTACTGTAATTTTTTTTTTTTTTTTTTTTTTTTTTTGAGATGGAGTCTCACTGTCTCTCACTTAGGCTAGAGTGCAATGGCACTATCTCAGCTCACTGCTCCCTCCACCTCCGGGGTTTGAGCAATTCTCCTGCCTCAGCCTTCAGAATAGCTGGGATTACAGCAGCACACCACCATGCACGACCAACTTTTATAATTTTTAGTAGAGACAGGGTTTCACCATCGTTGGCCAGGGTGGTCTCAAATGGTCTGCCTGCCTTGGCCTCCCAAAGTGCTAGGATTATAGGTGTGAGCCACCACACCTGGCTGCTACTGTAATTTTTACTGTAACGGAGAGGCTGTGGTTCTAGAAAGCGATGGTAAGGCTTATGTCAGTAGGGAGATAAGTAAAAATGATTCTAAGAATATTTTAAGAAGTTATTCTAATTTGTTTGAGTGTTTAATTCTTCTTTCCTGTTGCTTTTCTTCCCTGCAAAGGCATTAACGATGGTTTATGTGAAGAGTTAATAGTTTCCACTCTATTTGGTGGGTTATTTCAATGCTCACATCTGAGCATTGAACCCATCCCCTTATGCTGATTGCTGTCTTGCAAAGGAAGCTAACAGCCACCAGTGATGTCCAGCCTGTCTCTTGGGGCCATTTCCTTTTGATGGGCAATGCTAAATTGAGCCAGAAATATGTTTGGAAAAAGTAATCAGGGCCAACATTTGGGAGATTTAAAGTCCACTGGAGGTCAAAGAAGAAGCATAATTTGGAGTGAGGCCCAGCTATTGGGATGGGCAGTGGGAGGGAGTCTGAATGTGTGTGTCCATGTGTCTGTGCATGTGCATGTGTGTGTGTGGGGGGGGTGGCACTCCTGTGGTAGTTTTTATGTGTTCCCTATGTACTTCTTGGGTGAGCTGCCTTCTCTTAGAGAGTCTGGGCCAGGTCCACCCCCCCAAGTAAGTGTTGGTTCAGCTGGTGATGGCATTGTGTGGTTGAGGCTGAAGACAAACACGTCAGCCCTACAGAGCCCCTGCCATCAATTTGCTGCAAAACTCAGCTTCTTTCTAAGAATGCCAGCTCAATGAGAATTAGGAATGAAATAAGAAATTGCAGAAGACACTTTATATGCAATCCCCCAGGCAAGCAAAACACTCAGAACCAGCTGTACAAGATTGTGCTCTTTGATCAAACACAAACACTACAAAAGCTGATGAAACTGGTAACAGAATTGAAAGTTTTCTTGATCTGTAAGAAGTCAAGTTCCTTTTTTTTTTTTTTTGGTTGCTGACCTCAGCACCAGAGATATCATGAAGAATACTTTAAACAAGACCCTTTTGGGTGAGGGAAGAGAAGGATATCCAGCCATAAAAATTTCTGTTCTTTCCCCAGTAACCTGTCATCCTCCTGGTCCTGACTGTTCCATAAAAGCCATCTTTTGAAGACTGTCATCCCAACGGAAGAGCCATCTGAGATGACACCAGTTTCCAGCAGCTCCCGAGATACTACCCAGAGGGTGCCCAATGAAAGCAGGTGGCTTCCATCAGCATGGAGCCCTGAGGCAGAGAGGTTCGCATATGGTGTCTCAACTGTTAGTGCTTTTTGTACTCCGTGATTCATGCTTAGAAATGGAAAAAAAAACCCACCTCCTCCTCCCGAGGCATCTGTGATTGGCAACTCCTCTTAGGATTGTGCTGTATGGACTTCATGGGAAGATGCAGCGCATCTGACAGGAGAGGATGTAACTGTTTCTTCGCTGCTTCCAGCAGCTTGTGACAATGTCATAACTGAATTCTTTGGGGGGGCTCTTTGGTTTGTCAGTGGTTCAGGCTGCTTCAGGCTTGGCTTGACAAGAATTTTTTGAACACTTTTAAAGAGAATGTTGCCCATTGGCTATAATCCCCAGCAAGAATAAGAAAAAGTAATGATGACATGTCAGTTTGGGGATTCCAGAATATACTTGACAGCTGGCCATCAGATGACCGGCAGCAGCAAAATGTACAAACGAATATCTTAACAATTGATTAGAGCAGAATGGGCTGTCTCACAAACATTTATTTACCTATAGAAACAGCACAATACATTTAGAAGTTTATGTAGAGAGTCTTGTTATAATTGATTGTTGCACATAATTTGGCCAATTTTGTGTGAAGAATGGTAGTGGGGGGCTTCATAAATGAGTCAGTGGATGTCACATCTGCACGCTAGGATTGGACTCCTGTCCCCAAACCATCTTTACTGATCTACTTGCCTTGCTAGGTTGTTGTGAAGATTAAACGCAATCCTGTGTGTTAATGTGTTTCGTGAATTGCAGTGCACGTTGCCAACATCAGTTACTATTATTATCCTCAGACAGGAAAACTGATCCCGGAGAAAAAGTGAGACAGAGCTCCTAGAAAGATCACTTCTTTGCCTAGATGTGGCACTGGCCCACAGGTTAGAGGAAGATATTTACCTGCCAGGGATCTTCCTAGAGACAAAACAGCCTGTCCTTTGGGATGTAATCAATGAGAGTTTGTTACTGGAACATGCAGCAGAGAAAGGCTGCCGTGAAGGGAGACCCAAGCATAGTCTTAGAAGGTGAAGTTGAGGGGTGGGGAGCAGGGGCGCTATAACTCCAGGAAAGCAGGAAGACGCTCTGACCACAGACAGGTTTTTTGAGTAGAAAGACTGCATGTTGGAGAAATGAACTGCTCATGCTCTCATAATCTTAGTTCACACATTGAACACATATTTATCAAGCACAGATTCTGAGGTCTCCCTCATTCTGGTATCATGGAGGAAAGCCATCCTGAAAACAACCACACTACCATCACTCTGACTGACTCAGCAGGCCAGCCACTGAATAGGAATTTAGTTTCCATTCTAGACTCTGTCACTGTGAGGGTAATTCTTGGGCAAAAGTCCCTCTAGATTTCAGGAGAGTAGCAGACGAGTCCATTGATGGGTGAGGAGTGATAACCCAGTTGGCGGCAGCTCTCCTGGCTCCTTCCAAATGTCCTCCTGTAGGTTATCTTCAAATGCCCATCAAGATGATTATTTGATAAGTGAATTGTCTGCTAGGGCTGCCAGACCACAGACATTTCTTTTCTCATGGTCCTGGAGGCTGGAAGTCCAAGGTCCAGGTGCTGCAGGCTTGGTTTCTCCTGAGGCCTCTCTCCTGGGCCTGCAGATGCTGACTTCTCCCTGTACCCTCACAGGGACTTCCCTCTCTGTGTGTCTGTGTCATCACCTCCTCTTCTTACAGGGACACCTGTCATATTGGATTAGGGCCAACCCTTAAGAACTCATTTAACCTTAATTACTGCTTTAAAGACCCCATCCCTAAATACAACCACATTCTGAGGCACTGTGTGTTAAGATTTCAATGTAGGAATTGTAGGGGAAGATAATCCAGCCTGGAACACTATGTACAAATTCCAGTTATTAATCTGTTTGTGTCAAACTGCTTATTTCACGGGATTTTGGCCACCCTCCCCACCAGCTTGATTCCCTCGTTTCCCTGTGCCAATCTGGCTGCTGGTTAGTGCCCTGGGTAGGGGCCACACAGAGGTAGACAGCATGGTGAGAGGAAGTGAACTGGACAGGGGGTTGACCCCAACAGGTGGAGGAATGTCAGACAGGTTAGGTCATGGGTGAGAGGAAACAGAGCCACTCTTTAGGCCAGCAGAGACTCCTTCAAGTAAGGGTGTGTGTGCTAACTGATTGCAGCATCCACAGCAGGAAAGGATACTGGCTGCATCATGGCAACTGCCACCCTCAGCCTCAGGTGGGAGTTCCTTCTGTGCATGATATTCTTGTTAATAGCCTGAAACATTTCTTGAAGGGGTTGTCAGAATTCTAGGATGGTCAGGACAGGATCTCAAGGGCCAGTAATCAGGCTGGAGCCTGAAATGGTCTTGGGTCCACCAAAGCCAGACAAGAGAAGGTTTGCTGAGAGTATCTAAAATGTGCTGAAGGAACAGGTGAACAGCATAATTTTTTTTGTATCTCTATCAGATATATTCCCAAGCATTAAAAGTTGAAATACAAGGCAAACAAAAAGTAACTGACATTGATAAACATGCAAATGACAGTATATTCAAGTGTCTACAAGTAGCGGTGGAGGCCAGCTGATAGAACTGCCTCTTTTGCAGATGGGAAAATTCAAGTCCAGGCAGTTCCAGGTCAAAGCCGCACATGGAGTTGGTGGGAGACACGGAACTGGAGTCTCTCCGAGTCCAACGCTATTTCTACAACCCACATGGGCCATGGCTTTTAGCATTAGGGGGAATTTTATTCTTTATAGCATACTATCTCTAGGAAGCTGGGATTTCTAATTCTCCTTGGGTCTTAACTAAGTACTTGTCACTTAAAAATTAGGCACTTTAATTATATGAAAAAGCACATGACTTATACACAAATTTCAAAATGAACTTAAAAATTAGACAGCATCAGGAATTAATTAAGTCATTTAATTCCTCAGCCAACAGGTTAATTTTAGTAGAAAACTGCTTTAGTATACACCAAATGCAATACTAATTTGAGAATGTTTTCATTATTTCTACTGTGTGTTTCTTTTTATCCTTCTTTTATTCTTTATCTCCTCACACAAATATAGAGCAGGGAGTCTTCTCTCTGTATGCCTGTTGGTGAGCATTCCAGAGGATGTGCATTAAAAAGTGCAGGACTGCCAGGCATGGTGGCTCATGCCTGTAATCCCAGCAGTTTGGGAGGCCAAGGCACGTGAATCATCTGAGGTCAGGAGTTCGAGACCAGCCTGGCCAACATGGTGAAACCCCATCTCTACTAAAAATACAAAAATGAGACGGCGTGGTGGCAGGTACCTGTAACCCCAGCTACTTGGAAGACTGAGGCAGGAGAATCGCTTGAACCCGGGAGGTGGAGGTTGCAGTGAGCTGAAATCATGCCATTGCACTTTAGCCTGGGTAACAAAAGTGAAACTCCATCTCAAAAGAAAAAAAAAAAGTGCAGGACCAACTTTACAATTAAGAGATTTTGAAGTAATGTTTCTTTCTGTTTTCTACTGACCTACCTGACAACTTTGTCTGAAAATACCTGACTCCACTAACATCTTGTTTATTTGAAGTTCTTCTTGTTTAGTTTTCCCTTAGCACATTTTCTTTTGTAAATAAGAAAAGATACAATAAAAGCACAAAAAATAAAATAATTACCTTAATCTTAACTGCACTAACATACTTTGAAGTTCTCTTAAAGAAAAAACATGACTTCACCAATATCTAACATTCTCTTGACAATCAGTGAAAAGAAAATTTACACATCACAAAATAAAATTACATAAACAGATTACTTAAGAAGCCAGAATTTCCAGTTATGCACAAGATTTTCCACAGATATTAGACTCTACCCTTGTACACTAAATAAACAGCAAGTGATAAGGAATAGAAACAGTTCCTGTTTCCTTGTTGAGCAACCAAGCAACACAGAAGAAATCATTTTTGTTTAGAAAGAAAATAAAAGAAAGCAACGTTTCACAGACAGGGAGAGATGTTACCACCAAACCAAAGGTCTCTATAAATTCTATGTTTATTCCACGTTGTGGCTCCACATCTGACTGGGCAAGGCTTCTAGGGTTGGGCATCTCTGAGACTCTGTTTGCCAGGCCGCCCCATTGTCAAGGGTAGAGAACCTGGAACCATCTAAATCATTCAGCAAACCGCAAGATTCTGGGGCCACACCCAAAGAAACAGGGCAGAAGGCTCACCAGCATAACAGGAGGCCCGAAGCCCGAGCAGTGTAATAACATAATGCACAGTGTAATTAAGCAATTACTAGGAACTCAAATGAAGGGTGTTATTGTTTTGCCCTTCCTCACCGAGTATCAACTGTAAGCCTGGCCACAGCTGTACTAAAGCCAAACTCTACATAAACGTCTCCCTCTCACCCTTGCCTCCCCTTCCTCGTAAAGAGCCAGGGGCCTGGCAAATATTCTCCCAGTCACTTTGGGTCATAGGTGGAACACTGGCTTTTCCAACAACATTAGGAGGCGGTGCCCAGCCTTGGTTGTTGTAACAGCTACAAGGTCCACACCTCTCGGGGTGTGAGGAAGGCCTCCTTGACTAAGGAAATTGAGATACTGTAAGTGTTCCAAAGACCCTTGTGTCTAAAAGCCAGAGCTACCGTAATCTCCTTCCAGTTCTGGCACTATCTTCCATTTCATATCAAGTCTCAAGAAAGGGTCCTGGGCCCATGAGTGCTGGCGGCCACCTCCTCTTTCATTCTCTCTGACTCTACTCTGTCCACAGAGGCCAAGCAGCCTGGAGCACAGTAGGTTGAGCACAGACTGTAAGGTGGGTGCCTGGATTCACACCCAGCTCAAACACCTGGGAAACCAAGAGACATTGGACCCACACTCCATCCTGCCCCACTGCTTCCCAGACATATGTTCTCAGGCTCTTCCAGAATGTAGAATTCATATGAAGCCCTGTTCAGCTCACAGCGATTTTATGGGAGTTAAGAGTAGACATCTGAAAGCTGCTAAGTAGAAAAATTGCATAGTGCGGCATAATATAAGGAAGCTTGTCAGTGGGTCTAAATACTGCTTTCCTCCTGGTCAATTCCACCCTTCTGAGGTGAGGTTTCCTGTCTTACAGAGCTCTCTCTGCACCATTCTCTCACTGGTCAACACGTCAGTGTTCCCTAGTTGGTTTGTAGGAGTTAGTTTCTCTTCTGTTACCACATTATTTCTTTGCAAAGGAAATCAGAGTTTTCACTGCCTCTAGAACCTTTACTGGGATAGCATACTTAGAAGTCTTTTTTAATGGTTGTTCAAAACATTTTATTTGTTAAGTTGGATTTGTGGTAAGTTTTGTAGGTTGGCTCAAATATTCATAATTTACCCTGAATGAAAACTTAGCATGTACAGGTTGAGTATCTCTTACCTGAATTGCTTGGGACCAGAAGTGTTTCAGATTCTTGATATTTTTGGATTTGGGAATATTTGCATCTACATAATGAGATATCTTGCAGACGAGACTGAAGTCTGAGCATGAAATTCATTTGTTTCATATACACCTTACACGCAGAGCTGAAGGTAATTTTATAAAGTATTTTGAATAATTTTGTGCATGAAAGAAAACTGTGGCTGCATTTTGACTGTGACCCATCACATGAAGTAGAGTGTGGAATTTTCCACTTGTGGCATCACGTTGGGGCTCAAAAAGTTTCAGATTTTGGAGCATTTCAAATTTTGGATTTTCTGATGAAGGATGTGCAACTTCTATGTGTCTTCTAATAATATTTGGCCTTTAAATTAAAAGAACATTCCAGATCCAGTAAATTCTGCGTGTTCTCATGTATCTCCTTCCTGTGAGCTGTTAGTTCAAAGGAAGCCTCCGCCTGCCCCAGGCATGCACATGCTCCATCTTGGGTGAGCATGCTTGCTGGACTTTCCGGGCTGTCCAGGCAGCACAGACACCCAGCACTGGAGCCCGCTTGGGAGTTGTTCTGTTTACAACCACTGGAAGATGTGATGAGAGCAGAAGAAAGAAGAAAACATACGCTGTCTGGGAGTTTGAAGCTAACAAATGTTGTTATTAGAAATGTATAGGCTGGGAAGAAATTTTTAACACATTATTATAAAAATTTTAAACATATAGCAAAACTGAACCAATTTCACAGTGAAGACACACAGTTTACCAAGTCAGGCAAGCTTACTAGAATTATCTTATAACACACCTATCATCTCTCCATTGCTCTATCCATCTGTCAACCCATCTTATTTTTAAAGTGCATTTAAAGAGTGTACTCTTCTCCATAAATACTTTACCCTGAAGACAGTCTGATATTGACAATTTTTCTTTTTTGAGGTAAAGTTTATGTAAAATGAAAAGTAAACCTTCAATGTACCATTTTGTGGGTTTTGGCAGAAGTACTGTGTGTACTTGTGTAAGGTAAACCCCTGCCAAGATTTACAGCATTGCTGTTACCCTAAATGTCTCATCATGCCTCTTAAGCTCTGCCTCCACCATCCTCAGGTTAATTTTCCTTTTTGTAGAACTTCATAAAGAGAGAAACATACAGCCTGTGCTCTTTTATGTAAGCTTTCTTTTATTTGACAAAATGCTTTTAACATTCATGTGGGTTACATGAATGTGTAGTTCATTTTTTTTATATTGCTAAGTGATGTTCTGCCAGATGACTAAATCACAATTATTTTATTCTTTCTCATATAGATGGTCTCCTGGGCTGTTTTCACTTTTCTGCTATTATAAATAAAGCCATTGTAAACATTCTTGAACAGATCTTTTTGTGGAAATATGCTTTCATTTTTTTTTCTCTTGAGCAAATACCTAATAGAATTGCTGGATCATTAGATAGGTGTATAGTTTTTACAAAAAATAAAAGATCTTTTTCCAAAATGATCATACCATTTTGTACTCCCACCAACAATGTTTATGGCAGATCTAGTTGCTTCAAATCCACACTAATATTTAATGTTTTCAACCTTTCTTAATTTTAGTCCTTCGAGTTGGTGGATGGTGGTTATAATTTGCATTTCCTTGATGTTTTAATTTGCATTTCCTTGATGACTAGGTTTGTCGAGCATTTTTTCATGTTTATTTCTTTTTTTGTGAAGTTTTAAAATATCTTGCTTGCTTTTATTTTGGGCTTTTATTGAGTGTTGAGTTCTTTATACAAGCTGAACACGAATTCTTTATCAGATACATGTTTTGCAGATATTTTCTCCAAGTCTGTGCCTTGCCTACTCATTTTCTTAATACTGTCTTTTGATGAACAGAATTTTGAAAGTTTGATGAAGTCTAGTTTTTAAAATTATGATTCTTTTATTGTTTTCCAAGTCTCATCAGAGAAATTTTTAGTTCCCCAAAGTAACAAAGATACTTCTGTGCTCTCCTTTCAAAAATTCGTGAGATGAATATTGTTCAAATGTTTATACTGCCCAAAGCAATTTACAGATTCAATGCTATTTCTATCAAACAGCCAATGACATTCTTCACAGAATTAGAAAAGAATACTTTAAAATTCATATGGATCCAAAAGAGAGCCTGGATGGCCAAGGCAGGCCTAAGCCAAAAGAACAAAGCTGGAGGCATCATGCTATCCAACTTCAGATTACTACTGGCTATAGTAACCAGAACAGCATGGTATTGGTACAAAAACAGGCACATAGACCAATGGAACAGAATAGAGAGCCTAGAAATAAAGCTGCACACCTACAACCATCTGATCTTTAGCAAAGCTGACAAAAACAAGCAATGGGAAGGGACTCACTATTCAATGAATAGTACTGGAATAACTGGCTAGTCACATGGAGAAGATTAAAACTGGATCCCTTCCTTATACTATATACAAAAATTAACACAAGATGGATTACATATTTAAATGTAAAACTCAATACTATAAAAACTCTGGAAGATAACCTAGGAAATGCCATTCTGGACATAGACTTGGGCAAATATTTCATGATGAAGGTGCCAAAAGCAATTACAACAAAAATGAAGGTTGATGAATGGGATCAAATTAAACTAAAACGTATCTGTACAGCAAAAGTAACTATCAACAGAGTAAACAGACAACCTATAGAATGGGAGAAAATATTTGCAAATTATGCATCTGACAAAGGTCTAATATCCAGCATCTATAAGGAACTTAAACAAATTCACAAGCAAAACTAAACAATCCCATTAAAAAATGGGCAAAGAACATGAACAGACACTTTTCTAAAGAAGATATATATGGTGCCAAGAAGCATATATATGAAAAACAAATCTCAATATCACTGAGCATTAGAGATTTGTAAGTCAAAAACACAATGAAATATCATCTCATACCAGTCAGAATGGCTATTATCAGTGAAGAAAATAATGGATGCTGGTGAGGTTGTGGAGAAAATGAATACTTATACACTGTTGGTGGGAGTGCAAATTAGTTCAATTATTTTGGAAAGTAGTATGGTGATTCCTCAAAGAGCTAAAAACAGAGCTACATTTTGACACAGCAATCTACTGGGTATATACCCAAAGGAATATAATTCTTTCTACTATAAAGACAAATGCAAATATACGTTAATTGCAGCACTATTCACAATAGCAAAGACATAGAATCAACCTAAATGTCCATAAGTGGTAGACTGGATAAAGAAAATGTACATATACACCATGGAATACTATGCAACCATAAAAAAGAATGAGATCATGCCTGTTGCAGGAACACAGATGAAGCTGGAAGCTTTTAGCCTTAGCAAACTAATGCAGGAGCAGAAAAACAAATACCACATGTTCTCACTTATAAGTGGAAGCCAAATGACAAGAACACATACGCAAAAAGGGGAACAACAGACACTGGGGCCTACTTCAGGGTGGAGGGTGGGAGAAGGGAGAGAAGCAGAAAAATAACTATTGAGTACTAATTTTAGTACCTGGGTGATGAAATAGTCTGTATACCAAACTCCCGTGACATGAGTTTACCTATATAACTGTGACATGAGTTTACCTATATAACTGTGACATGAGTTTACCTATATAACAACTGTGACATGAGTTTACCTATATAACAAACCTGCACATGTACCCCTGAACCTAAAATTTTAAAAAATAAATAAAAGCTTCATGGTTTTAGTTTACATATTTTGTTCTGTCCATCTCAAATAAATCTTTGTGGATTGTATAAGAAGGGGGTCAGTTTTTTTCCCATGCAGTTGTCTGGTTATTACAGCACCATTTGTTAAAAACATGATTCTTTCCCCATTGGATTGCTTTGGCCCCATTGGAAAATGATTTTTCCATCTATTTTTAGTCTTTGTGCCAATCTCACACTGTCTTGATACTGTACATGTTGAAGTTAGATAGTTATAAAACCTTCAAATTTGTTCTTTTTCAAGATTGCTTTGGGTATTCTAGGTCCTTTGAATTTTTATAGAAATTTTATAGTAATCTTGTTAATTTCTATAAAAAGTCTGCTGGGGTTTCGCATTGAATCTGTGTCTCAATTTGGGGAGAACTGGCATGTTAACAGTCTCGAGTCTTCCAATTCATAAACATTATATATATTTCTTCATTTATTTAGTCTTTCTTTCATTTTTCTCACTAGTATTTCGTAGTTTTCAATGTAGAGATGGTGTATTTTGTTAAACTTCTTCCTAAGTTTTTTGGTGTTATTGAAAATTAAATTTAAAAAAATTTCTTTTTCTAATTGTGCTAGTATTAAAAATGCATTTGATTTTTATATATCTGTCTTGTATCTGAAAACCTTGATGAATCCTCACGTAAGTTTTTGTGGTTATTTTATGCATTTCATAGGATTTTCTAATAAATCATGGCATCACTGGCAAACAGTGACAGTTTATTCCCTTCTGATCTCTAAGCCTTTTATTTCTTTTTCTTACCTTATTACAATAATTAAGACTTTCATTACAATTTTGGGTAGAGTGGTGAGCATAGCCATCTTTGCCTTGTTCTCCATCTTGGGGGGTGGGGAAGCAAAGCATGTAATATTTCACTTTAGATTTTTTCTATAGATTCCCCTTATCCGTTAGCTAAAATTCCCTTCTATTCCAAGTTTGCTAAGAGGTTTTTGGCTTTTAAGAAATCATTAAAGGCCGTTAAATTTTATTTTCTGCAGAATGTTCTTCAAACAGCAGTTATCTAGTACTTGGTTGGTTTGATGACATTTGGACTTTTTTTTTTCTTTTCAGAGTCTAAAGACCAATACCACATTTCTTTATATCCACTTATTCTTTCTCTCAAAGGCTCATGGACAGCTCTTCTATTTCTGAATAACAGTATCATGAAGATTTATATTATGTAATAGCACAAAATCCAGAATAAAGAATGACAACTTGTTTGAAAACAGTTTTAGTAACTCAAATTGCAGGTCACCTCTCCAAAACTAAAAGTTATGGTACACCTACATATTCTACTTTTTGTCTTATTTTCATATACTAATTTCTAATGTTTTTAGTTAATATAATTATTCATATTTAGAGCACTATTTCATTATAGCATTACTCAGTTATTGGATTTTGTAGTTTGAATAAGAAATAAAGTTTTATTTTATGAGTCATTTTCTATAAACAAACAAATCATTTTGTTGAGCAAGGGTGTTTCATTTCATGATGATGGTAAGGAATTTGGGGATTAACTAGATGATAGATGTAGAAGTTAATGGGTCATGACAGAGCTGAGGCGTAATCTTTTAAATCTTTTATGAATATACTTATATACTGGGTGCTACATAAATACTAAGTAGCCATTATCTTAGATACTTATAAATCTCCCAGATGTTTAAAAGCACAAGAATTAATATATGCATAAGCCA